TTAGATAAACCTTTGTCATTTTTTACTGTGAGCACACATTAAAAATGAAATTTAGTTGCTTGCTCTCAAAAGTGCACACATACATAACACACATTTAAATATGCTATATACAACATATGTATAAACTTTCATCCTTACATATAAATAACATAAATATTAATCACTGTCCATCTTGAATACATAACCAAGTATTGTAAGAGATGCTTAAAACTAGTTTACCAACAACTATAGGATCATGCACTGTCCACCCAATACCTCTAAATGCTTGACTTTGTAACATGGATGGTTCTACATTTTTGCAAAGCTGTTCAAATAACAAACCATACAATTCAATTATAAAGGAGCCCAACTTTTTTTTGATGTCAAACAAATATTTGAATGGAGGGCAATATTCTGTCAAAACGGATATTTGATGCAACAGCATAAAATCCTGATTCACATTTAGCCTAGTTTCCAATATGGGAAACGTTTTTTTTTTACATGTCTTGGCAAGCATTTATGGAATAAATCTCCAACCGCCCTCCTTTAAAGCAACGTCTATAAGGCCTCTTCTTGTTTGGGCTTCGGAAACCTTGAATAGAACTGCAACTGCAGACAGTTCCCAGGCGCACTCAAAGCTTTTGTCAAGATACTCGTGTCAGCCCTTCCCACAAGCTGGTGTGCCTCTACTTGGAGGTCCGGGAGTTGCAGTCCAAAACGGGTAACGCGCGGAGAAATCTGCCCTACCGATTTACTGCGGAGGGGAAACTCAATTTAACCTGTAGAAAACCGCTAAGAAAAGTCTCCGGAACGTCTGCTGTTTTCACATGAAATCTGCCAGGGACGTCTGTGAGATTGGCTGGCCAAGACCCCGACCGCAGCCGAGTTAAAGATACCCGGGTAGATCAAATCCACTTTCCAGGACAGGCGTTCCTTCTCCTTCCCACTCAAGGACACCGTCACCGGTTGGTGCAGCTTCGCACCAAGGATTCGGGTCCCAACCTGCAGGCCCCGGAAACCTTGCATAGAACTGCAGCTGCAGACAGTTTCCAAGTGCACCCAAAGCTCCCGTCAAGATACTCGACTTGAAGGACTTACCTGAACGACCCTACTGGCCGCCGCCATTTTGCTGCCCATGATGATACCCCGCCCGGGCAAAGGAGCGCGCCAGCACAAAGCGTTGTGGGAGCGGTAAGGCGGGGTCTAGCTAAGCTCCGCCCTCCACGAGGGGCACGGCTTCGAACCCAACGGAACAGCTGTGATATACGCAACTATTGAAGGGGGGATTGGCGGATAGCCAATATTTATTTTTATTAACAGTGATTTATTTATCCAACTTCTATAATCGCCCATCTTAATCAATGATTTTGGGCTGCTTACAATTCAAAAATACGTGTTTAATTTCACTAAAACAACTAGTTGACCTACCCAAACTAAATTAATGATTAGTTATCCCTTGTTTAAAACTGATTTACATAGTAAACAATAACTGTTTTCACTATGCAAATTTGTTTGCTTAGCACCTTCTCATATTTGCACAAAAATTGCATGGCAAATATAGGCTGGTTTTTTTAGAATATCTGCACACATGGATATTTGTATGATGGGCTTTAGCCTACAACAAAATATCCAGTCAGACAGAGTTAAGTCATCTCAAAGCATTGACCTTTTCTCTTCATCTGTGGGTGATACTTAGCTATCTTCTCTGTGACCTTCAAAAGGGAGAAAAGATTAGTGTAATCTCTAGTTACACTAATTAGGAAAATACTGCTTTCATCTCAGATCACTAGAGTACAAAGGTATTTTTTTAATTGCAAGCACAGCTTCAGTACCAAGTACATTTATCGAACCATTAATATTTCATTTTAATACAATTGTGAAATTCTTACTTTTTTGGCTTTCAAAACAATATTGTTCAACTAAAGTATCTATATTTACTAAATTGTATATTGTATAAAATTCACACACCCCACCACTGGACAATTAATTTGACTATTAACCATCCTACCCTTTTTTAAACATCTCTGGCAAAGTCAGTCTATTATCTCCGAAAGCAAGCTGCACAGTATTTAACAAATTCTTATGTTTCACAAACCTTTTTGTATTTTGAACTTCTCAATTGGGCCTTTCTAGTAACAAAAACCCCCAAACCTGCTTTGTTTTTTGTGTGGCACCTTGTATTATCTTAAAATATTTTTCCCCCTAGCATACTCAGCTTCAACCATTTAAGGAATTTCCAGACCTCATACAATTTTTGCCACTGCCTCTGGACATAACCAGTTTGGTATCCTTTTCAAACTGTTGTCTCTAGAAGTGTAAATGATAACATGAACTTCAATTATAACAACACTACATTATGAATTATCCGCCTTTTTCTCCTGTGATGCTTAAGAGGCTATTTTAAAAGAGAAGCTCCTTCAGATTTTTACCTAAGTACAGTGCACATATTGGCACTGAAATAATAGCAGCAGTGGGAATTGTATATATCTAGTGTTGTTAAGAGAGCAAGATCCTACTGCCATTTTGTATGGATCCTTGTGCGTTTTGGCTCAAAATATTTATTTTTGTCTGGGAATAGAAATAAGACACAACCAACAATATAGAACAATTACAGTATAACATTTCTGAAAAATATCTATCAACATTTAGGAGATGGCCTCCTATTTATATACTATACTGCAGAACCTACTTTTGCTTTTACTATATTATTTATTTATCGGCTATGAAAAACTACAGCAAATACACAGAAATAGAATATTACAAGTATCTTACAAGAATGGCCCAGGAAGAAAATACTATTGAATATTTGGCAATTTCAACTATGAATATTTGAACTACTGATGATTCATTAAAAACCCATTGAAATTAGACATAAGGAATTGTAATAAGAGAGTTTAGCAAAAAAAAAAAAAGCGCATCATACATATCACACATAACATGGAGACAAAGCACAGTCTAAATTGTGATGAGAGAATGAAGTGGCTACCTATGTAAATAAATACCTGCTTTTTCAGAAGGCCTAGTGCTCTGTTTTTACTGGAATCAGCAGTTGGTAACTTATGTGAAATTAAGAGAAGGAGAAGTGAATTATTTTACAGCTAAATGACTCTCCTGTAATAGCTTCTTGGATATATTTACAATGACTGTAACAGAATTTCCCTTTTGTTGCTATGTCAGTCGTACTTCAGTGTAATATATTCTTGTACAAATACATAACTCTTAGAATATGATTAATATATTACAAAAACCTGATAGATTACCCTTTTGTCTCTGAATTTGGAAATCACAGAAAGAAAATACAGTCATTAACTTAATGTTGTTTCAGATGCCAATCACATTTTTCTCCAGTTGTAGAACAATTTCCTTCAAAGCTGGATCCTTTGCCCAATTGACTCCACTTCCAGTAATAAGGTTCTGCAATAAATATTATTTAAATATAAAATTAACTAATTAATTTAACTATAAATGAATAAATAGGATTTTTGTTCTCAATTATATTATTTTAATATGCAAATAAATACAAGTTCCACAACAAAATAAGCAATCAATTATTGTTAGGTTGTATAATTTGTAAATTATATTATACTTCTACAAGGAAGTTTTTTCAAATATTTTTCTATATAAGATTTATTCTTAGAACATGAATATTTAATATATTTCATTTATACAGGCAGTTCTTGATTTATGACTGCAATTGCGACTGAATTTTACCATTTTTATCATTACGTGAATCACATAGTCATAAGTCTAAATCACATGGTTGTTAAGTGAATCATGCAGTCATAAATCTGAATACATCCTCCAGAAAGGGCATTTTTGCTGGAAACCTGCAAAAACAATACAAATAGTGGTTGTATGACCACAGGACACTGCAACCAGTCATAAATGTGAGTCATAAGTTGAGGACTACCTGTAATATGAATAATAAAAAGGGATAAAAATATGTTGCATACAGAGCTTTGTTCTACATTATACTAACCTGTGCAAGTTATACCTGTAGCTATAATGGTAATTATGGTGGTAATAATTTCAAAGTACAATATTCATCTACCAATAAACATTAAAACATTCAATGTCTAGAGGTGGTCCTTGTTTAAGGACCACTCAAACCTACAAGAGAAGTAGTAGTTACAACCGGTCATTGTATTTATGTTGTTCACAGCATCCCTGCAACTGGGATTAAGATCTCGGTGCCTGGCACACATTTTCTCACAGTCACAATCATGTGTGCCTGGCACACATCTCACAGTCACAATCACCATTTGTGACTTTTGCCGGCTTCCCACAGTCAATAGGGAAGCTGACAAAAAGTCACAAATGTTGACAGCATGACATCTGGTTCACTTAACGATGGCAACTGGAAGTGCTGGAACTTTCATTGCTAGGCAGTGTGGCCACATGACATCATGCTTTAAAATCAAGTCACTTAGCAATGGAAATTCCAATCCCAGTTGCCATAGTTAACCAAGAACTATCTGTATTTGATATCAACATTTTAATTTTCATGTTTCACATCTAATAGAAACTAATTCATCCTACCAAGTAAGACATTTTTCTATCTATACAAATACAACTTACCTGGAAAATGTTTTGAATCAATGTAGTCATCTGAATTTCCTTTTGTAAATTTTTACGAACTTTCCTCAACATTTCGCAAACCTCCATATTTTCAAAATCCTCTTTTTGTTTTCTCCTCATATCATATATTTTTGCCAGTTTACGTTCTCCAGCTCGCTTTAATTCTATTGAAGTATTGGAGGGAAGAGGGAGATGGAAAATAGTAAAGCTAGCTAATTTAAAAAAATGAGTTCAGGAACATGCCTTGCATTCACTATACTTGTGGATTAAACTAATGAAATTAACATTTGAAATTAAATTAAATTTGTGTTGTTTCAAATTAATTTATCATATTGAATTTATCACAACCAATTATAACTTACCTAGTCTGCTCTTCTTAACCTCATTCAATTTTTCTTCCAGTTCACGGGATTGCTGCAAAACCAAGTAATTTATATAAATATGTTTATATATTAAAAGTATCCATACATCCAGATTAATACAACTACAAAGATTAACTTTTCAAATATGTTACTCCATTAGTTTCAAACATTGTTTTTATAGACAAATAATCATTAATATTTTCATGTAAAGGATACTCACCTGCTTTGATGTAAGTATTGCTGTACTAAGCATCATGATATGTTTAATGGTATCCCAGATAAACCTAAGGAGAAAATGCAGAAAAATCAACAGGATCTATTAATACGTGAAACCAAATCACATGTTAGATAGATTTAAAACACTGGAGTATCTTGCTTAATTTTTTCTCAAGCTACAGTGTGCCTTTCTGTCCATGGCTTCTTGCAAAAATGCTTTGACTGGCAACATTAAATGCAAGAGAAGAAACAGACAAAAGAGCTATAAATACATTTCAAGATTGACTTATAAAATGGGAAAACATTGGCCATAACAGGTTTAGCTAACACATACTTTTCATGCATTATAGTATTTGTATCCAAATAGTGTACACAGGTAATCTTCCTGTGTGTTTCATTATTTTTCCCTATCCAACATGCCGGGAAGCTCTAAAGATCATTAGTTGTAAAAACTTTCCCAGAACTCAGTCACATACTTTCCAACATAATTGGATGGGAAAAGTCTAGTCCTCAAGTGACCAAGCTAGTAATTTTTTAATGTTGCCATTTGAAAGCCGTTTAGATAAAAATGTATTATAAACAAAGTGAACTCAAATTATAATTAGCAAAAATCATTTGTAGTCCAAAGTAGTAATACGTAATGGATTTGCATTCAGCTTGCTATTTTCATTCTACATATGGAATGTATTACAGTTTCTCATTTTACATCTTTCTCTTTAAGTAAGGTCAGCTAACACAAAAATGCTTTCTTTCCAAAGTGGGGCTACTTTGGAAATGCAAAAATGTTTCCTAAAATGTTAGATAGGATGGCAGAATCTCAGGCATGTGATCTAACTGGAAGCTGATTTGGAATTGAGCACTTCAGTATTCCAGGGATCCTACAAGACTGTTATCTAGATTCACACAACCTGTAAAGTCAATGATCAAAACTACTCTTTTTCAAAGTGAAGATGCCTGCTGTACTCTTATCTATTGTGTCTGAAAATATTTATGATTAAGAACTGCAGTGCAAACTTTTTGATCAATCTCATAGTGCTCACTGCTCATGAGGTCTATTGATGATTCTGTCAGTGGTTTAGCTGTCACATCAGAATAACCTCCATTTGTTCCAAAATTGTGTTCTAGATTATGATGACTGTAGTTGAGATACAGCTACAACCTAGAGGAAACAGACTATTTGGACTTTTTTCAGTTAAAGTTCAATCCTGAGAATAGATGGCCGTAAACTTTAGTGAACTATTAACCACATAAACAGTATTTGTATGGCTGGCCAAGCAAAGATTGTTCTTAAATATATTGTAGATATTTTAAAAATGCATTCCCTTCATGATTTCAAAGCTTACTTTGAATCCTCATCTTCATTTTTCAGTTTGGTTCTAAGGGCATCAGTTATTTGGATCCTATAAAACAAAGAGAAAGTAGATATAAGATTGTTCACATGGGTTATGACCACAATTTCAGAATTCTACCTTAACTAAAACAGACATACATGGAGATTTTTAAATACAAAGACTTACTTAGACTATTTTCAGTATATAGGGAAATTAGAACATAAATTAAATGCATGGCAATATAAATGTACCATGTAGTCCTTAATTTATGATGGTAATTAGGATTGGAATTTCACTAAGTGATACAGTTGTAAAGCACAACTTCATCACTTACTGACAGCAATCCCTACAGTCCCTCTTGTCATTCTTAACCAAATCCCATGATCAGTAAGTGACACAACTTCCTGCTGTCTTCCCACATCTAAGTCAGTGGAGAGGTTGGCAGGAAGCTGCAAGTTTCAGTAAGTTTGCAGGCAGGCCAGAGGCAGTAACTGGGAGCTATCAGATGGCAAAGAGTGAGGGGAGGTGTGGCAAGGGTTAAGAAAGGTGTGTGTGGGTGTGCAGGATGCACAGCAAGGGTCTGAATGGGACCAAAGGGATACATGGTAAAAGGCAAGGAGGGGTGCAAAGGTATAAGGGGATTAGAGGAGGATGCAAGAATGAGAGATTTATTGTAGTGACTTGCAACCTTTCCTGTCAACTTCTCTATTGACTGGGGAAGCCAGCAGGGAAGGTTGCAAATGGTGAACACTTGATTATGTGGTGCTGCAACTGGTCATAAGTGTGAGCTAGTTGCCATATGCCCAGATTATAATTACAAGTACTGCAGGGATGCTGGGCTGGTTGGAACTTTGAGGACTAATCATAACTACCATTCATTCAGCACCGTCATAATTTTGAACAGTCACTGAAAGAATATATGAATTATATATTTTAATTTTAAAACAATGGTTTCTTGCTAGAATTGTATTTTTAATTAGCTGCACTGGACACATCTTGTAGATATTATACAGAAATGCAATAAATAAAGCAAAACAATACAGAATCTTTACCTTTGTAATGCTAAAGTTTTGTTTTGATACGATACCCTCATCTCTTCCAAGTCTCTTTCCAATTCTTCTATAGAACTAAAAACAGTGAACTTTCTTTAATAACTAATAGTTTGTATTCGCTCATAAATTAATGTTAAGACAGATCATTTGTTTCCTATCAGATCTAAAAGGGGTTTGCTGTTTGATAGAGTGACTAGATGGTTGTCTGTTTTGATACTAGATCTGGATTTTTTTTCACGTTTTCATTATCAACAGAATGTAAAACAGCAAACCGAAATGTAGTGCTAACATATTTAAGAGTAATGCATTCATTCAGAAATAATTTTCCTTTTTAATAGAATTTCTATTACAACAGAATAGGAAAAGGATATAAGCTTATGATTTGTTATGGGCATACTGAAAAAGCATAAACATGTTTTGATTCCTTAAACTATGAAAATATGACGGGATTCAGCAATATAACTAGTGAACAGGCATAAGGCATGAATGCAAGAAGTAGTTTGGTGCTTCTCATGACCAGAAAAGGCATATACTATACATCAGCCATAGTAGTTACTGTATTTGAAGGACCCCCACCCCACCCCCGCAAATTCAGCATGTATTACTCTGAGATACATTTTTTAAGAAAGAAAATCCAGTCAGGTAAATGTGGTGTGTTTTCAAGTAAAACACAAGAAAGTGAATATATTAAAATCTTTAAAATACCAGGTTTAAATATAAAGAAAAGTTTGATCAATTCTAATTTTCAGATGTATGAGACACTGAAATATTATTTTATATATGATAACAAGTTTTGAAAACATACCCTTCTAATATTTTTTCATTTCTATCTTGATCCGGAATCTTTTCTGCAGTTGCTAAACAAAAAAGACATATTTATAAATGATAGCTGAACATCCTCTCATCTCTCAACACAAATACGGCATACAAAACTCCTATGCTACAGAGAAAAGATGGTCAAAAGACTTGACATTTTAATCTTACAGAAAACTTTAACCTAATTTTTAAATATTTACTTTCACATTCTAATATAACAAAGTTTGAGTTTTTATGATCCACTTACTTGAATTGATTATTGTATTATATTCCATAAGATGCTGACTTATTTGTTCTTTGATTCTAAAAAAAGAAAAAACACTTCACAAGAAAAGTGTACACTTCACAAGAAAATTAGAAAAATAAAATGCAATTGTAGCAGTCACTGCAGAACTAAATTGCATTAGCGTTCATTGAAGACTTTAAACTCATAAACTCAGCTTATGTGCATTTAAATATTTGAAATCTAAATTTAAATTAGGACAAATTATAAAACCATCACAACATGAATACAATTTCTTTCATTTACACAACTATTCACAACTTTAAGTTTTTCCTTTTGTAGGTTTTTGTTGTTGCAACCCACTTTGCAGGCCATCAGTTTTTAGAGATCTCAGGAACAACTTTTATTAGAGACTTGTGAGCATTGCCTAACTGAAGCACTAGAAACATTTTGATGCATAAAACTTATCTTGCTAGTACTTCTACCTCCCTAAGTTCAGAACAGTCGCTTTGGAGGGAAACAATATTTCTGGCCCTCTAGGCTTACGTTCAGCAATATTCCTCCTCACAGCTAAAACAACCTGCACTTCAGCCTTCCTCGGTTTCCTGAATCAATGGAAAAATATGTCGGCACAACTGGTGCTGTCCTGACCGACCAGCTTTTACCTGGCTTCGCATTCAGGCCTGCGACTTGATATCTCCATCTTTACAACTAGCCCTTGCTGGATTTCCCTGGCTGTCAAGGGAAATCCTTAGTGCGGTACTTACTCCTGTGGAGTGGCCGACCAGGACTGCAAAACTCCGGACCACCATTAGATGGAAGCCAAGAGCGGGTTTTTTTTTTTTTTAAATCTCCATCTCATGGTCCTCCGAAGTTTTGCTGCCGCTAGAATGGTTTCAGGAGGGAAGAAGCCATCGAGGGGCTGTAAGACCAACAAACGACTGACCGATGGAGCTTGAGCAAGTCCGGCGTCTTCTCTTTCTCTTCGTCGGAGAGCAAACGGGCTCCTTCCTCCATCGCTCCTTCCGTGGGCTTGTCGAAAGCCGCCACCTTGTCTCCTACCTCCGAGCAGCCCGCTACGTCCCGCGCTTCCATCCCGGCGACGGCGGCCAGACCTCTTTCTTCCCACCAATTACCCGAGCGCTCTACCGCGGCTCCAAGGGCCGCTCTTTCAAATAGCCCGCCGACCGACTCCGCGTTGCGTGAGAGGAGTGACGTCAGATCGACGATGAATCGCTCTGGTTTCTAAGTGGCCTCTGCTCTCGGTCGAAAGGGAAACAGCGGCGTTCTTTACTCAGACCTCGCGAGAAGAAGCGCACAAAAAATGCTGTCGCCCCGCCCAGTGGCGGGCCTGTGTTTCTCAACCTTGACAATTTTAAGGCATGTGGACTTCAACTCCCAGAATTCCACAGCCAGCATTGCTGGCTGTGGAATTCTGGGAGTTGAAGTCCAGATGCCTTAAAATTGTCAAGGTTGAGAAACACTAAAGAAGCCATTCCATTGGCCGGGGACACCCAAGCGGGGGTGGAGAGGAAGTGAAGTATTGTTTTGGACGAGGCATTTCTGTCCAGGGAGCGTCGTTTGCGGTTCTGGGTTTCCCCAAAGGAAAGCGGGACAGAGCACCAAAGGAGAGCAGGAATAAGTTAAGCTAAGGACAATTTCTTTAGGCAGGGCTGCAATCTAAACATCTCACTTGGAGAGAATTTATATCGCTTTAGTAACGAGCACGGAGGCTCACGTGCTTAGGACGATGGTTGGCAGGCAGCAAGCCCGCGGTCGAGACCTGAGTGTTGCCTTGGATCATCGGGGTGACTCCGCTCGTTCGCTCAAGCTCTTGTGGAACCACTTCGGTGGACACATTAATGGAGACATGAAAGGAGCTCTTAACTGGCGTCCCTCGAGCAACGGCGATGTCACCGGTGATAAATAGGCATCAATATGATAAATCTTCAGAGTCAGTTAAACCTACAATTGGTGAGGGTCAGGAAGAGATAACATAAAGAAAGGATGTAAAGGAAATATGTAGGCAAAAATAGCTGGGTCTGAGAAAGGAAGAAGAGAAGCCATAAAATAGTTGTAAAAAGGAAATGGCTAGCCAGGAAAAGACATGTTGGAGAATAGGAAAATAAGCTGAATAAGATAAGAGAAAAGGCACACTGAACTGAAAAGCAGGAAAAGAACTTATTGTTTAAAATGGGGACATAAATATCTACTGAGTTTAAAATAATTTAAATGTCTAATTTTTCTTATTCTTATTGTATATGTGAATATGATTTAATATGTCATCAGGAAATGTGTATAGGCGGATGGAAAGAGTGTAACCTCATACTACCTCAGCCAATGGGGAAAGAGGAGGGATGTAGCGGCCGGTGATAGGGATGAATAAAAGGAGATATTTTGG